AAGGGGGGTTCTAAAGTGAAGGGAGGGATTCTGATGTGATGGAGGGGCTCTGATGTGAAAGGGGGACTCTAATATAGTGGGAGTACTCTGGTGTGAAGAAGGGACTCTGTTGTAATGGAGGACTGTGATATAATGTGGTGACTCTGCTGTAAAGGGGACACTTTGGTGTGGTGCAGCAACTGTGATATGATGAAAGTACCCTGATAAAATGAAGGGACTCTGCTGTGAAGGGGGCACTCTGGTGTGGTAGAGCAACTGTGATATGATGAAAGTGCCCTGATAAAATGTGACGGTGGCTGACTATGGAGTGATGGGGGTTGACTCCGATGTGATTGGGGCTCACTCTGATGTGATGGGGGACTCTGATGTGATAGGGAACTCCAGCTGAGAGATCTGGATGAAGAGAAAATCAGGGAGAGCTAGTTGGAAAGGATACAATGAAGGTGTATTGACAGAACGTCCCATGATTTTTTGTACTGTACCCCCAGATCAACCAGGCTAGATCTGTCCCCCGTACAAGAAAAGTCACAATGGGGATTCATCAAAAAGGCATTTGCAACACATTTCTGACAGGGTGTATATAGCCTTGCGGTAAAGTCATGAAAACCCTGCAACATATTCATTGTTCATACCAAGGTATGTGGCACTCAAATCCTATTTAGTGTCAGATCGGTGATAGTGGGCAGCACAGTGGCTAAATGGTTAGCTCTTCTGCCTGGTAATACTAGGGGTATCAGTTCAAATCCCAACCATGGCACCACCTGCCTGGAGTTTACATGTTCTCCCTGTGCCTGCGTGGGTTTCTTCTGGGTACTCTGGTTTCCTCCCACACTCCAAAGACATGCTGGTAGGTTAATTGGATCTTGTCTAAATTGTCCCTAGTATGTGTATGTATGAATGTGAGTTAGGGACCTTAGATTGTACACCCCTTGAGGGTTAGGGACTGATGTGAATGTACAATATATATATATATATATATATATGTAAAGTGCTGCATAAATTGACAGCGCTATATAAGTACCTGAAATAAATACATTTTCCAGAATACTGCCATGTTGGTGATCATGAAATTGGAAGAAAGTAAGACCAAAGGCAGGTTAGGTACTAGCAGACTTGCGTTGTCACCCTTGTGTGCATTCCCATATTATAGTGCCTTTCTCAGCACGCCCCCTGCTGGATGGTCCAGGAAACAGCTAATTTCTATTCACTGCAGTTCAAGAGCCAGTTTTATTTTGTACATCAAGATGTAGCTATGTTCTTTGATTAATCTGATAACTGCACACAGCAGGAAATAAAGAAGAAATATTAGGTAGATTTATTCTGGCCATACTTTGCAAAACACTAAAATAGTTTTTTTACAATCTCTTCATGACCGAGGCATTTATGTGACTGTAACTGCGGTGTTAGCGCTGAGCCTCCAAGTCACCCCTTCATTCCACAATTCTCTCTCTGGCCTCTGACCAGCAGAGGGAGAGAAGCCTGCCAGCCGCCATGCTGGGAGTCTTATGAGCATTGCTCGGTGTGTTTGCCTTCCATGACCTGTACAAATCCTTATCATTCATATCTGGCGCGTCACGCCAAACAGTGTCCACACAGCTCACAAATAGATGTTAGATACCGTCTGAAAAACCTCTAAACTTCTTTTTGTGAACACTTGCCAATGTATGGTCCAATAACTTTTCTTATTTGTTTTTACGATGTTCATTCTCAGCGTTTATTGAATAAAGTGTTTCCACTTATGCAAGTTGAAGGGAATTTCCAAGTAAAACAGAGATCCAGTATATGATTGGGGTCTTCTTTGTAATAATGTAGATGTACACCGCTTACAGATCCCAATCTAGAGCTGTGCCAACTGCCAGAGTTCATCTACTTCCCCCCCCCCCAATACACAAGCAATACCCCAACTTCTCTCTAAAAGGCCCCATAGATGCCTTGAATTTCAGCCAATTTCTGCTGAAATTTGGCCTTGCAAAGACCAATGTTCTTAATCACCTTCATGTATTTTCATTGTTACATAGTTACATAGTTACATAGTTAGTCTGGTTGAAAAAAAAAGACAAAAGTCCATCCAGTTCAACCATTAAAAAAAAGTTATAATCCTATACCCACAGTTGACTCAGAGGAAGGCAAAAAAACCAGCAAAGCATGATCCAATTTGCTCCTGCTGGGGAAAAAATTCCTTCCTGATCCCCCGAGAGGCAATCTGATATTCCCTGGATCAACTTTACCTATAAATGTTAGTATCCAGTTATATTCTGTGTATCTAGGAAAGAATCCAGGCCTTTTTTAATCCATAGAGCTGGCCAGAACCAACTCTTGAGGGAGTATCTGTATCAGGTTACTCTTTTTCTGATGTATGTTGGCATCTCGTGGTGGTTTAAGGCCAACATGTTTATTTATGTAATGTGGCATCCCACTCTGTCCTTTCCTCCTTTATTTCTGGTTAGTTCACACCCTCCTTGTTTCTTCCATGTTCCCTAAGTCAGTGTTATTTTTTTTTTTGCAGTGCAGAGACAGGGCTTAGGGAAGTCTTTGGCTTCTTACAATTCAAAACCATCCTCTGTACTGCATATATCTAAAGTAAAAGTGCATCGGTTTCAACTTCTGTGTCTTATTGAAGAGTTAAGCTGCCTGTGGATAGTGCTAAGTCAGCAGGTGACTATATTGTCCAGACAGGTTTGGTTTAAGGAGGTATGTGTCTATGCATAAAGTGGCATTTCAAAACCATCCTCTGTACTGCATATATCTAAAGTAAAAGTGCATTGGTTTCAACTTCTGTGTCTTATTGAAGAGTTAAGCTGCCTGTGGATAGTGCTAAGTCAGCAGGTGACCATATTGTCCAGACAGGTTTGGTTTAAGGAGGTATGTGTCTATGCATAAAGTGGCATTTGAAATAGAACAACCTATACAATAAATATAATAGCCAATAGTGAAGATTCCATCCACATTGTTGGTGTAATGGATTTACTTTTTCTCTGGCGGGCTGGATGGGACTAAATCAAGTCTTCTATGGCTAATGTTACTATTTGCTGCCACGCATAAAAAGAAACTAATCTAAAGCGCCTTTTAATTTTCTTAAATCCATGGTCGGGTGACATACCAGCTTTATCTTCTAGACTACAGAGTGGGATGGTCCCTTATAGGGTGCCCACACCCCTGCATGGGTGACACTTCCTATTGGCCATCCTTTTAGGCTCCAGAAGACTTTGGCAAAACTGCTTTAGAGATTTTTTTTAAACATTGCTGAATGATGGGAGCTGGGGAGAGGAGGAATGGGGAGGGGGCATTTGCCCAGAGATAGGCTTTAAAGCAGTATTAAACCCCAAAACAAAAATTTAAAAACTCAAAAACAAAAATGTAATATACTGCAGCTTACCAGTCATTAGATGTGGTGGCTGTATTAGTTTTCTCTTTGTAGCGCTACCCCTGTGAAGGCTGCTGGATTTTTCCTGGGTGCCCTAAGTGTTGCATAGCCAGGCAACATGCATTTTCCACACTTTCTCTCAGAGTCAGTAAAACAGTCCTTGAGCTTGTTTTAGTTGTTTTTTATAGGGGTAAACAACTTGGATGGGGTCTAGTGGTGTTTGGGATACCTGAGGAACCGAACAAACAAAAATGTACAAAAATGTGGACCAGAATCAGCAACAGTCTTAGTAAGGAGCACTTTCAAAGTGAACCTCCTCAGGGTCTGGTGAACCTCCTCAGACCCCAGATGGAACTATCCTCATCCACCCGACTGGCCTGAGGGTATCCCTGGGCAAGTGATTCCAAGGTCTACCATGGAGTAGTCCCAGATGAGAACTAGTTGGGTATTGCACCTGACCGCCCTCTCCCTTCTGTGGCCCAGGGGGTAAAGAAGTACTCACACTGTCCTGTCCTGTAGCTTATTGGGTTGCAACTGCTTTCAGGCCTTATTCCTTCCTTGTTGACAGGCTGTCTCTCCTAAGTAGACTGTAGGGCAGTGGAGATCCTTCTGTCCAGCTCAAGCCTGTAGGTAGGTTCCACACTGTTGGAGCCCCCTCCCAGGCTCCACACACCAGCACCTTTCTTCAATTAAACTTACACCTGACCAGGGGCAGACTGACAACTCATGGGGCCCCCAGGCAATAGGGGATCATGGGGCCCCTGTGTCCTTGCCCAAACTCAAACTACACCCAAAAAAGCCTATGAAAGGTACCAGGAAAATCTCATGGGGCCCCCTACTGACCCCGGGCCTTCGGGCAGTGCCCGAGTTTCCATATGGTCAGTCCACCCCTGCACCTGACTCCCCTGCTGTTTAGGCTCTCTTACATTTAAGAGTTGTCCTTTCCACCATACCAAGCCTCCTGCCTGGGGATTGGCCAGGTTCCCTCAAACATGCAAATCCAGGCCTTCTCCCCTCCTCCGCCCCTCTTCTAGAAATGTCCAGCAGTTTCTAGAAGGATGGGAGGTTTTCAGAAGCCCTGACCTGTAGAGCCTCCCAGCCTGCCTCATTCCAGACTTCTAACAAGCCTCTGACTAACCCAAAATAATCCTATCTACCTAGAGGGTGCTACATTTTCTTTGTTTTTTTCCCCTTGTTTTTACATGGTTATCTGACCAGTAACACATCTCCTGTATTAGTGAGACACCCCTCTGGATGAATGAGCACAGCACACAGCAGCATTACCAGTCTGGGGGGGAGGGGAGTGTTACATGTATTAGCAGATTTAAACACACTAAACACATTGAAGCCAAACTCCAACTCACACTTTATAAGCAGTTACAGCAAACTTTCTTTGTTCCATTTGGAATAAAGGTTTTACATGAATATATAAAAATTGATCATTGTAAGCACCCCTGCCAGTGACAAATGGTTTGTCTCATCTATGTAAACTGATACATTCTGCTGGAGAGTGTGTGCTTCTGAAAAAAAAACAACAGAAAGAAAAGAAAGAAAGCCTAAAAAAGGAGATGAATGCAAGCATCACATCTAAGAATTGGTTAGCTGCAATATGATAAATTCTTGATTTTGGGTTTACCACTGCTTTAAAGCCCAGCTCCCCTTCAAAAATAGCTAATAGGACTTTCAAAGTACCGCTATGATCCATATAATTATACAATATATCAAAAGTTCATGATAAGTGGTAGTCCTCACCTGGACTCCGAGAGCGAGGATTCTTTGCAACGCATGGAGTGGACTTCATAGAGGAAACTTGTCCCCCGATATATGTTTTATTGCAGTGGATGGAGGGTATACAGGGGCGGACTGACAACTCATGGGGCCCCCGGGCAATAGGGAATCATGGGGCCCCTGTGTCCTTGCCCAAACTCAAAAAAGCCTATGAAAAAGGTACCAGGGGCATCTCATGGGGCCCCCTACTGACCCCGGGCCCTCGGGCAGTGCCCGAGTTTCCAAATGGTCAGTCCACCTCTGAGGGTATACAATATGCCACCTGCCATTTTCCATCTCAGCTACTGAGAGTCCTCTTTCCTTTTGGCCTGCATCTTGGCATGCTGATTATCTTCTCATGAAGGTGTCTTCTCTGAATGTATGCACTTCTTGCCGATATCGCAGATAAATGAAAGATAATTGTAGTTCCTAAAGAAACAGGCTTTGCCTGTAAAATGCGTTGAAGTTGGAAATTTCATCCATTACATTTGTATTATAAACCAATACATGAAGACATTTGTGTGGACATCTGTATAATACATTATGATAACAAGCAAATGGGGATAAAATGTTTTAAAGTGCGAGAATTAAAAACCTTTGATGTATTTTATAATATATGGATCATAATGGATCATGAAAGTCCTATTAGATATTTTTGAAGGGGATTTACTTAAGCTAGCTTCACACTATTATGGCTCTGTGAGCCAGGTTGGGTCCATGCATGTCAGCTCATACATTTGAATAGGATGCTGTGCCTGCCTTTCATGCAGGAAAAGAGTTTTCTGTAGCATTTTTAAACCGCAGTGGCTGGGAAATCGCATGGTGCTTTTGCCCCATACAGGCTACCTGATAGGGCCCCCTACCCAAGGGTGTGTGGGTGCAGGTGTATGGCCCTAAACACAAACATTGTTCATTTTGGGCCTTTCACCCATACCTGCACACCTCAGATTAGGAATTGGGGCTGATTTCTTACAGCAGCTACATCCATGGGCAGCATGGTGGCTAAATGGTTAGCACTTCTGCCTGGCAGCACTTGGGTTGTTGGTTCAAATCCCAGCCACGGCATCTCCTGCCTGGAGTTTGCATGTTCTGCCTGTGTGGGTTTCCTCTGGGTATTCTGGTTTCCTCCCACACTCCAAAGACATGCTGGTAGGTTAATTGGATCCTGTCTAAATTGTCCCTAGTATATGTGTGAATGTGAGTTAGGGACCTTAGACTGTACACTCCTCAGGGGTGGGGACTGATGTGAATGTACAATATATATGTAAAGCACTGTGTAAATTGACAGCGCTATATAAGTACCTGAAATAAATAAATAATATATAACAGGTGGCTTCAGCCACATGAATAGACTGCTCATTCAGGTGGCCAGTGTGTATGGGCCCCTAATTATGTTTTTTTCATTATTTTTACAATTTTAGTTTTATTTTTTTTGCATTTTGTACATTTGTTAATAGCCCTGATGTTTCACTTTTCAGACAGAGATTGAGGACAGAGATAAAGACAGAAAAAGAGAGAGAGATTCAGCTACATTGCAGAATAAAGGTACAGGACGAGCGCTATACAGAGAAACAAATGCATTCCCCCATCTACACAAGCCAGGTGGATGGAGGAATCTTGCATGCTTTGCCATTGTATTGTGACAGCAGGGACTCCTCCACTCTCAGAATACACTGATCAGCACTGCAGCAAATTGGCTGCAGCTGATGATCAAATTAATATTTTTCACCATTCCCATGTGACAGAAGTCAGTCCTTAGATCGAAGTATAAGGTGAAGAGTCGGCAACTCCTTCTCCCGATAAAAGTACTTTATTCATAAAGGGTACAGTGTGCAAGTTACTGCAGCTTACGCATTTCGGTGAAAAACCTTATTCGTAGCCATCCTTAGTCCTTAGGCCATAGTCCTTAGATTGACTTCTGAAAAGCGGGAATGGCCATATATGGATCAAAATTCGACCAGTGCCTGCTGAACCATCTGAATTTTCAATTCATCTATGGCCAGCTTAAAGAGGAGCTCCAGTCGGTTTTCTAAAAATTAAAAGTCAGCAGTTACAACAACTGTAGCTGCTGCATTTGAATAATCACTTACCTTTTCCAGGGTCTAGCAATGTACTCACCCGAGGGGGCCCCAGGGACTGTGTTTGTTCCTCGGCACTGCAATCTTAACTGTGGGTCCCCGGCTTTGACTACTTGTGGCTTCACAGCCAGGTGCCCGCTGCACATGTGCAAGCCACGCTGCGCTTCGTGAATGGGCCCACAGTCTTCTAGGACCTGTGAAGTGACTGTGGGGAGGGAGGGGGGGGAGAACTTCCACTCAGATTGCTTTGGTGACCCGGGAGGAATTGGGTACTGTCAAAACCAGGTCCCCTCTCCCCACCAAAGGAAAAAAAAAAAAAGCCAAATGTCAAAGAGGAGCAGGGGAGGAGGGGAAGAGGCCTTAACCACCTCCCTTCTGGCCCATGTATATAAACGGCCGGACGGTGGCAGTGCAGGGTCGGGTGGCCGTTTATAAACGGCCTCCCCGGCCCCCTGCTTGTGCGTGCTGCCTGTGAGTGCACAGCACCGCGATCCGGTGCCCGCTGTGTCTTCTGGACACAGTGGAACACCGATCATTGGACGGGACCTCCGTGAGAGGTCCTGATCATGTGATCACTGATTGGCCAATCAGTGATCACATGCAAAGTAGTAAGCAAGATGTCAGTTCTGATATCATTGCTTACTACATGTGAAATCTGTGAATGATCACAGAGGTCACATGGTACAAGGCTATTCGCAACAGCCTTGTACCATGTGATAAGCTGTGACCAATCACAGCTCACTCAGTAGTTCTCAATGGCTGCAAGAATGCAGCCAGAGAGAAGGAGAAATGATTGCTTTTACAGCCTTTATGGGTATAAAAGCAATCAGTGTAAAAAAAAAATCTTCATCACCCCCCACAAGTAGTACAGTGTCACCATGGTGGCACTGTACTGCTAGGGTGACAGTATGTAAAAAAAAAAAAAAAAACATAAATAATAATATAAAAAAAGTTAAAAAATTAAAAAAAAATGTTTAAAAATTATAATTTTTGGTTATAAACTAATCTGGGTTAGATTTATGGCCAAGATTTATGATGAAATACTATTTATTTACAAAATTTTATAAGAAAAACACTTTTTTTCTAAATTTTTGGACTTTTTTATTTACATAGCAAAAAAAATTAAACTCCCACTGGTGAATAAATACCACCAAAATAAAGCTTTATCTGTTTCAAAAAAATGCTAAAAAATGCATATGGGTACAGTGTTGCATGACCGTGCAATTGTCATTCAAAGTGTGATAGCACTGAAAGCTGAAAATTGGTCTGGACAGGAAGGGGGTAAAAGTGTCCGGACTGGAAGTGGTTAAAACAGAACTTTCCCATTTGGGCGGAGTTCCACTTTAAGTCAGCAATGGAGTCTCCCATAACTCTCTCCAGCCTTTGCACTTTAGCATCCCTAGCACCATCATATAGAACACATGTACTGTCAGAAACAGAGAGGAAAATTGGTTCAATGATCTCTATACACTACATTCTACATAAGCGGGTAAAACAAAGAAAAATGCCATTCCGGTGTTGAGGTTATGAAAGTGTAAATTGTATTTTGGCAAGGAAGCAATGTTTGGCCTCATAATTAGTGAAGCTGTTAAAAAGCAACTTCCTATTTGCTGTTCAATTCAAAGTCTTTAATGCCTTCCTGTACTTTGCATGCTAATAGTTGTTACTTTGCATGTCCATATTGCTGTTTTGTATGTTTGTGGTATCATAGAGCAGTTATTAGTATAAAACAATATCAGTTTAATTCTGAACTCCAGGCAAACAGATAAATACACTGAAATACCAACGTGGTAGATAGTTTACCTGCCAAAGGATTTGGATTTCTATATACCCTGAGATTTGCACTGCTCCGCTACACTGCATAGCCTTGCCTTAAACTCAAAAACAAAAATGTGTTATATTGCAACTTTCCAATTCTTAGATGGGGTGGCGGCAATGGTATTTTCACCTGGTGATCTCGCCAATAAGTCTGTTATTTTTTTAACTTTGTTTAACAGAACAAGCTGCCCAGCAATATTAACAGTCAAGCAGGCCATAGACGAGTAGAAAACTGAACATAAATTCTTGTTGATAGGCATATCTTTTAGTTTTTGCATCATTAGTATCCCAGCAGCATCACACGATTTTTGTTCAACAACCTGAAGTGCATGCTCAAACAAGCTGGATTTAAAAAACAAAAAATTCTAATTGTTGTTGGGGGAATCATACAAAAAAATTAAATAAAAATGAAATGCGTGTGAGCTAGGAAAGTATGAACCAGAAGGAAAAGAATGTTCACTATCAAGAAAGTTCTTTCATTCCAATACTTGAAACCATACCAATACTTTCACGTAACATGAAACATGCATGATTAGCAGGCAACAAGACCAAGCTATGTGTCTGCATGCAGAAGGGAACGCACAAAACAGGGCAGCACAGTGGCTAAATGGTTAGCACTTCATTGATTCAAATCCCAACCATGGCACCCCCTGCCTGGAGTTTGCATGCTCTCCCTGTGCCAGTGTGGGCTTTTTCAGAGTACCCCAGCCTCCTCCCACACTCCAAAGACATGCTGGTAGGTTAATGGATCCTGTCTACAGTTGCAAGAAAAAGTATGTGAACCCCTTGGGATTACGTGGAGTTTTGCATGAATTGGGCATAAAATGTGCTCTGAACGTCATCTAAGTCACAACAATAGAAGAACACAGTCTGCTGAACATAATACTACACAAACATTAGATGTTGCCATGGTTCAACCAATTACTTGTATGCTTTTCATTGTCCTGTTAATTGCACATAACATGTAAACATTCACAGTGCAGGGAGGAAAAAGTATGTGAACCTTTGGACATAACATGTAAACATTCACAGTGCATCTGGAGTAATTTTGGAAAACTGTTTCAGTGTAGCAATATGTGGGATGTCTGGTGTGAATCGCCTTAAGGTCATGCCACAGCATTTCAATGATGAGGTTCTGACTGGGCCCCAGAAGGCTAATTGTTGAGCCATTGTTTTGTTGAATTACTTGTATGCTTTGGGTCATTGTCCTGTTGCATCAACCTTGACTCCAGTTCAGTGTGATGAAAAATATTGGAGCTCAATGTTTCCCAGAGCTAATTGACAGCTGTCCTGCTGACAGCCCTGCCCTTAAAAAACACACACCTGTTTTGGGTTTACTGGTTTCAAGAAGCACTGCCTGATGTGAA